TGCACAGCAAGTGCTTAAACCCACTGAGCCATCTCCCCAGCCCTTTATTTTTACTCTCTATGATAAAAAATTTCAAACATACAGGAAATTGATAGAATACCCATTTTATCATGGTTGTACCATTTTGAATTTTTGCTGAATTATTTAAAAGGAAATGGCCACTTTTCTCTCTGAAACATGTCTTATCACCCTAACAAAATGATTGACTGATTCCTTAAAATTACCAACATCTAGTGAGAGCTTGCTCAGTCTAACTGCTGTGCCTGCAGTGGAGGGAGTGGTTGTTATGTGAGAATCTGTAGCACATGTAAACACTAGGTATTGGTCAGGGAATCCTGGACTGAGAGGGGACAGAGCCTGAGAACCCAAATAGGTCCTGGGATGAATGGCGGGAGGTGTCAGGAGCCCACTGTCACCCTGCACTGGAGTGTGGCATGGACAGCGGAGCAAACTTATGGCCACGTGGAGAAGTGGGGGCCATTTCCTTCCTGTGGAACCTTTTTTCCTTCTGTTATAGGATGCGTTGCACAGGGTTAGGAACCAAGTCTCCCTGGTTCCCTGTTAATCTGTCAGCCTCTCTCACAATACTTGGCATGAAACAGAGACCCAGTAAGGATATTTTTTATTAAATAAATATTGGGAATGATGCGGGGATGTTTAAGGTTTGAGGGAAATGGAAACTATCCTGATGACAAATATTTCTACATTACTCTTTGTGTTTCAGGCTCTGTTCTAAGAACTTTATAATTAAATGATTGGATTTTCATGAAAACTCTATGGTTAGGTAATGTTGTTCCCCTTTTTACCAAATGCAGGGGAACAAAGAGTTCAGTAACTCACCCAAGGTCACACAGCTAGTGAATGAGCCTGAACTAGGGAGGGCCCTGGCAGCTCACGATCGGGTCATGCCAAGGCCCCAGTGGGAACTGGAGCCGTGAATTTAGTCTCTGGGCTGGGGATTGCCTCTAGCAGTTTCTATCCTTGCAAGAGGCCTTGTAGATCTACCCACTGGTGTTAAGAGTTTCGTGCAATTTCCTGGGTCTGCTGGTGAAGAATCTGAGGAGCATCCTTGCTCTTAACACCTGCCCCCAACAGCTGGAGCACAGTGGTCCCAGCCCTGATGTCACTGACCCTTACACAGTGGTCCTCACCCCTTTCCCTGTCCCCTGCCCAGAAATTTGGTCCCTGGATAGAATTTTCTCTCCTATAAAATTCTGGCCTATAAGTTCTGAACTGCGGGTGCCAAATTCTGCCTGGTGGCACCGAGATTGCATGGGTAGGCTTTGATGCCATTCGTGGTTTTGTATGTGTTTATACACTCGGGAGCTTGAAGTTCATTTCATCTCTATTTTTCAAAGTATTCATCAAAGAGCCCCGTAGGGAAGGTGAGCCTTTGAGAGCAGTGCATGTGATAATTGTTGATGGAGTGCATCCAAGGCGGTTGTTTTTTCTATGTTTTCTAATCTCAAAGGCAGGGAAGTTGTAGTATGTAATCTTCATAGATATTTTAACGGAAACAAAAGCTTGTCATTTCCTGTATAACACTCAAAAAGCTTCTTTAACGTGTTGATCCATGTGACTGGTTAGTGCTTCTGTGAGCCAGGCGCTCAAAGGCTTTAAGAAAATAAATGAATAAGAAATATCAAAGCATTTATTAATAATATTTATTAATATTGATAAGTACTTTAAATAATGCCAAATCATGTGTTATATATTTTATGAAAATAGCCATTTTTCAAAGGCTTTGCAAAGATTTTGATCTTGACATTTCCAGTTGGTGGGGTTATAGTACTGGAAACTGAACCTTGGGCCTCATGCATGTGTAACAAGTGCTCTACCACAGGCCTACAGCCCCATCTCTCACACAGGTCTTCTAGGAGAAGGGAATAACATGATTGGAGAGTAGATCAGCCAATGCCCAGGCCTTGTGGGCTGCAGATACCTTCCACGGACTCTTCCCAGAACAGACCTCCAGATGTGGCTATGAGAGGTTTGGAGCATGAAGCAAATAGATGCAATGTTACTTAGTGATAAAACACTGACCAACACCAACTTGGGGAGGAAAGGGCTTATTTCATCTTAGGGGTTTTAGCCCGTCACCATGCCAAGCCAAGGCAAGAACTCAAAGCAGGAGAAACCACAGTGCCACAGTGGAACGCTGCTCACTGGCTTGCTCATGGGCTCACTTTCAGGTACCTTTCTTCTACAACCAGGCCCACCTGCCCAGAGCTGGCACTAGGCTCACAGTGGTCTAGGCCCACCTAAATCAATTAGCAACCAAGAAAATGCCCTGCAGACATGCCTACCCACCAGTCTGATGGAGACAGTTCTCCAGTTGAGGTCACCTCTTCCCGTGTGTGTCAGTTGACTGCCAAGATTGCTATTTCTTAACAAAGGTTTTAGTGAAAATTACCATTACCATCAGATACACTTGAGGAATATTGACGTTTGGCACAGCTGACATGAGGTCTTTGGGCATACTGTCACTTGCCATCCCTACAACTGCATTCAGGATAGAGGTTTTGGTGCTCATTATCTAAAAACTGAAATACAGAGTGGTTTAGTAACTTACTCAAAGCCCCATGACAGGTAAATATCAGCCTAAGGGTGCATGTGTACATCTTCATGGCTCAGAAACCTGTTCTCTTCCTGTCTCACTCTCACAATACAGATGCTCCTAGACTATGTATTAACACCCATTCATGGGCCTGCAGAGATGGCTCATCCGTTACAAGCATTGACTGCTCTTGCAGAGGACCTGGGTTCGATTCCCAGCACCCAGTGGCAGCTAACAACTGTCTGTAACTCCAGTTCTAGAGGTTCCAATGCCCTCTTGTGGCCTTCATGGGCATTGCGCAACACGGATGCACTTACACACATGCAGGCAATACACATACACATAAAATAAAAATAATAAGTAAAATAATTTGAAAAGGGAAAAGAAACCACATTTACCTACCTGCTACCAGAGGTGGATAATGCATTTTTCATTCCTTAAATCACTGTGGGAAATTTCCTCTTCAACCAAGAACCACTAACCACATTAGTAAAACCCAAGCCAATTTATTGATTTGAAATACTGTTCTGCTCATCTGATTTCAAATAAGCTAAAATGAAACTCTATGAAGAGAAGAGACAGAATTAAAATAGAGCTCAGGACTGGAGCGATTACTCAGCAGTCACCAGCACTGGCTGCTCTGCAGAGGTCCCCAGTTCAGTTCCCAGCACCCACATGGCAACTAACAACCATCTATATCTCCAGTTCCGGGGATCCAGTGCCCTCTTCTGGCTTCTGTGAGCATTGCATGATATGAGTGCACTTACATACATGCAGGGAAAACATTCATACACAAAAAAATAAAAATGAATAAAAAACCAGCTCAACTTTTGTTGGTGAGAGATAAAGGAGGTCAGGAGCATCTTCAACATTTGTCAAAACTCTAGGTAACTTGAGTATTAATAGTGTTCAACACTAAAAACTCAACAGGATGTGCTCATGATTTTTGTTATATTTCATTATAAAAGAATCAAGCAGTATGACTTTTTTTTCTTTTCTTTTTTTTTTTTTTTTGAGACAGGGTCTCCCTGTAGCTCCAGCTGGCCTGGATTCACTATGGAGACCAGGCTGGCCTCGAACTCACAGAGATCCACCTGCCTCTCCTGAGTGCTGGGATTAAAGGCATGCGCCACCACGCCTAGCTCAGTGTGACTTTTTTAAAGAATCAAAATAGAGGCTGGGGAGATGGTTCAGTGGATAAGAGCACCTGCTCTGTAAGCATAGGGACCTGTGTTTGAATCCCTAACAAGCATGTAAAAAAGCTGGGCATGGGTGCACATGTCCGTAACCCCAGCATGGAGGGGCAGAGACAGATCCTGATAGCTCCCAGCTGAGCTGAAAAGGTGAGCTCTAGAGGTTCAGTGAGACAGCCTGTCTAAGGAGAGCAGTAGAAGACCCTGAAATCCTGCTCTGGCCTCTGTATGTTCACACACAGGTAAACACATACTCTCTTGTGCAACACACACACACACACACACACACACACCAAAATAATCCAAAGTACACAACTCCTGCCCTTCAGCGAGCATCCTTCCAGCATCTGGCATATGTACAATGTGTAGGGTGTTTGCAATATTGGAATCATGGTGTTGATGCTGTCCTGAAGATTTAACCCACATGTTGTGAACATTAAAAGGCTCTTTTTGACCCATTTTAAAGACCCCTGTCCTGGGACCCTTGTTTTAGAGATCTCTACTTTGAAGAGGAAGTAGCTCCCTCTTGTGGCTCTTTGGATAATGGTCATTTAAGATATCCCAAATCCTGTTGAGATGTTGCAACCCTGGGATTTGTCCAGCCACAGCAAGGGGCCAGTGTAGGGGTCCCTTTTGTGCCCGTTGAAGTCTTGATGAAGAACCGAAACCTCAGGCTTTCTACAATCTCATTTCTTTCCACTTCACCACCATTTAAGAAATTGACCCAAGTGGTGAAATCATCCTCAGGACTTCAGGGGTCAAAAGAAAGAGAGACCTACATGGACTGTCATCTCACTTAAAAGGACTTTCAGAAATGGCCCTTTGTCCTATTGCCCTGCTATACAGTATCTAAGTTTTGACATTGCAAATGAGTTTGGGATCCTGGAGAAAAAAATTTCTCTGGTGATAAAATTGAGCTTTCTAATTTGGATAGGCATAGAGAATGCAAATCTGATGACTGGGCAACACAACATGATTATTTTCTCCATATAAAACCTCCTGCTCCAGGCATGGTGGCACACACCCTTAATCCCAGCACTGAGAGGCAGAGGCAGGCGGAGCTCTGTGAGCTCGACGCTAGCCTGATCTACAGAGGTTGTTCCAGGCCAGCTGAGGCTAGAAGGAGACCTTGTTTGACAAAAGCCTAGAGCAGAAGTTTTCACTTTGTATGAACACCATAGCAGGTTGCGTTTTCCACCTGTACAAGCATGTTTTGATGGACATTTTCCTCCTCTTTCCCTCTTGCGCAGTATGTGGTAGAATGTCATGGGGTCACCCTTCTCCCCCAGTTCTTGGGAATGTACCGGCTGAATGTCGACGGAGTTGAAATATATTCGATTGTTACAAGAAACGTGTTCAGCCACCGTTTATCTGTGTATAGGAAATACGACTTAAAGGTGAGATTTACTTTATTTATTTTCACTAAGTGACTCAAGCTTACTCCTCCACATTGTAAATGTTACAATTTATCATATAAAATGTTTGGGATAGTCTCAAAGCTTGAAACTACCATGCAGCTACCCGTGGACCTGTATCCCTTAGGATTAAAGCAGTCCTTTCTACTTTTCCAAAAGACACATGCATATAAGAGATGCCATGTCCCCTACATGCCATGTGCTGTTCTAAGTGCAGGGAATAGTTGATGAATAAAACCAACCAAGGCCAGTGAGATAGCTTAGCAGGTAAAAGCACTTGCCTGAAAGTCTGGTGATAGATGTTTGATACTCAGAACCCGTAGTAGAAGGAGAGAATTGACCCCTAAAAGTTGTCCTCTGAGCTCCACCCACACCCCTAAGCACTCACATGTGCACACGTGCACATACACACACTAACATTATTATTAATATTATTATTAGTAATAATAAATTTAAAAAATAAAACAGATCAAAACTGTAAGTGAAGTTGTAATTCTCTAAGTAGAGTATCAGTGACATACATAGTATGTTAGGGAAAGGTGCTGCAGGTGGAAATAAATGGGGGGATGACACACTCTTGTTTTCAAACAATATTGGGGATTGAACCTAGGGCCTCACATAAGTTCCACAAGTACTCTATTGCTGAGCTCTATCCTCAGCCATTTTTACTTTTTATTTTGAGACAGAGAGTCACTAAGTTGCCCAGGCTGACACTAAACTCACTGTAGCCCAGACAGACCTTGAACTTGTAGTCCTGCTTCAACTTTCTAACTATCTGGGATTACAAGCCTGTGCCACTATGTTCAGCAAGGGATACATTTTTAAGTAGGGTATGGAGAAAGGTTCGTCTGAAAAGGACTTGAAGGCGATGAAGGAATGAGCTGAGGGAAAGTTCATAGTCAATGAACTGATGCAGGCCCAGAGACGTCCTCTACTCCACAGACTTGAAGAGAGAGGGGACCACTGGAAAATTCCAAGTGTAGAGATATGATCTGACCTTCAGAAGGTCAGTTCAATCAGGGGCAGCTGCAACCTGTCTGCACCCCAATTCCAAGGGGAGTTTCCTTTTACAAATAAAGTTTTATTGGAATATCACTATGCACACAGTTTCTATGTTATCTTTGCTTTTGCATAATGGCTGACTATTGTGGACCACAAAGACTAAAGTTATTTACCCTCTGGCCCCCGAAAAGTTTGCCCTCTGGTCTATGGCAGTTTGTTCTCAGGAACTGTTTTATCTTAGAACTCATTTACACGCATAAAGAGGACCCCAGAAAGCTTTACCTTCCATTGGTCACGCCTGTGAATGTTTATAGTATTAGAAATAAACGAGAGAGTTGAGCAACAGCTCAGCAATTAGAGTACTTGTTGCTCTCTCAGAGACCTGAATTCAGCTCCCAGCTAACCTACAGATTGGTCACGCCTGTGAATGTTTATAGTATTAGAAATAAACGAGAGAGTTGTGCAACAGCTCAGCAATTAGAGTGCTTGTTGCTCTCTCAGAGACCTGAATTCAGCTCCCAGCTAACCTACAACAGCCTATAACGCCAGCTTTAGGGATCCCAGCACCCTCTTCCAGGCTCCGCAGGCACTCCCCACACACAAACAAATAAAAATAAACCACAGGGAAACAGAGCTTTCCAGACAACTGAACAGTTACTCATATCAACTTACAAGAGTGGTGACAGCTTGCACAAGACCTGTTTAAGCTCAAACCAGATAAGATCCCAGCATAGACATGGGGAAGTGGGTAAGAAACCCCAACCCTAGTCGAAGAACTCTTAGTAACTGGGAGGGGGAAGAGTCAGTCTCATTTAAGGGTAAGACTCTTGGTAGGTTAACCAGGCTCCAGTGGCTAGACCCGTACCACGGGGCATTTAGAGGCACAAATCTGACTTTCTAGGCCTTTATATATACATCTATATGTGTAATTATGCATGTACACATATAGATGTATATGAAATTGGGCAGGATAATAAGGGGGTACAGATAGGAGAGGGGATTTAAATATGATTAAAATATATCACATTTATATTAAAATATAAAATTTGCAAAAGTTCAATTTAAAAAAATGAATGAAACAAAGTATTGATATTTATTAATATTAGTAATTACTTTAAATAATGATATATCATCATGTGTTTATATATTTTTATGAACTAGCTAATTTTCAAAGGCAAAATATTGGCAAGACAGGGAGTGTTGCTTTCCATTTGATTTCTTTATTAAATTCATTCCAGTCCAGTTGCACGTGTGTGTGATGCGTTCCGATGGCACTCACCCTCCCTGGATTGGAATCTCTGATTCTGCCATCAGTCAATTAATGTTATTTGATTAAAGTAGATGGGGAAAAAATCTGAACTCACACAAATAATGTATGCGGAAAGGAGGGTGTGGTACTTCGTTAATGTTCTGGGGCAGTTGAAGACGTTCTTTGACACTACACTGTGGTAATGTCTCCAAGCTTAGTTACACTGAGGAATCTGAAATCACAGTGGGCAACTTCTTGTGCTCTCATGCACTGGTCTGAATGTGTGATATTCTAACCCCATGCTCCTCATTGGGAACATAGTGGTTTCTTAATTTACACAGCTTTTCCAAATATCAGTGAAATACCAACGGTCATATTAATATGCCCACCAGTCGCCATGGAAGCTGACAAGCTATGGGTAAATTCCTTTTTAACACTGGGTTTGGTTTTGATTTGAATGTGTACAAATGTTTTACTGCACGTATTAAGTGCACCACATGTGTTCAAAGCCTGCGGGGGCAAAAAGAGGGTGTTAGATCCCCTAGAACTGGAGTTACAGGTGGTTGTTAGCCACTGTGTGAGTGCTAAGAACCAAACCCAGGTCCTCTGCAAGAGTAGCCAGTGCTTTGAACCACTCTTCAACCCATAAATACAGTTTTTCAAAAGTCTGGTTTTCACCTCAAATCCTGACAACACACAGCTCCCCCGGAGCACAGAGAAGCCTTGTGGTTTTGTTCATTTTTGAACTACTATTTGTTCTTTTCTTGCATCTGAATAAACACAGGGCATCTGTCGTTCTTTCAAGTAAAATTGTTGTTTCATAAAATATAGTGGCTAGTTCAGCCATGGCTACACCAGTCATAAGAATGGTTCTTCGAGCAACATTCTTTCCTTATAAACAGAAGTGATTTATGTGCAGTGAAGGTGCCTGGTTCAGGATCAAGACATCTCATTCCCTCATCAGGGACATTCTTAAATGGTGCTGAGGATCTGGGGTTGTCTTAATGACAAATACCATCACTACCTTTTTTGTGCCACTGTTTGATTGGACAGTTGCCCACTATTGTTTTTGTAATGTCCTTGTGCATATCAAGAGAATGAAAAGGCAAAGATGGCTCAGTATCATTATAAAAAGTTTTCTGAATGCAGTGGTACACACTTGTAACCTTGACTAAGTCAGTGGCATCACAAGTTCAAGGTCAGCCTGGGCTAACTAACCAGTTTCACTCCAGCCTCTGGTCAAATGAGAGCCTGTCTCAAAAAGCAACACAAATGAACATCAGCTCTGGTTTTTTAACCCCTGAGAGAATCCCAGGATTCTGAGCCACACTTCAAGAAATGCTAGTCTAAGTAATGGAGATGCATGGCTTTTGCCCCCACCCTCTGAACTCCAGGCAGACTGAACTTCTTATACACTGCCCTGTCCTGTACCCAGGTCTTAGCTCAAGCCATTTAATTGCCCTGGAATTGCCCACCCCCCAAGGAGTCGCAGCCACACCCAGTTTTCCTTCTTGGCACCCACTCTTTGCTGTGAGTGGTGCTGCTCACACACTGGGTTATAATGTTAGGATTATGCAGTGCTCTGACTATCCGATGTCTGAAAGCCAGCATGACCTTGGAAGCCACATGTGCTGGTGTTCTGCTATTTTTTGAGTGCCTTAAGAGCAAACCTTTTATCCCCTGAGATGCCTCCAAGTAAACGTGCCCAGATGTGCTATGCATCCAGGTGGAATATTGTTTTAATTTGACTTGCATTTCATCTCTCTTTGTAGCTTACAGAATAAAAACACTCTGTTCTTGTCTGAGCTTTCAGGAGCGTGGAATCCATACCCTTGGCATTATCTCATGGTTCTAATTCGAGACCTTAACAACTATCCTTAATTTTCTACTTTAAGTTTTTTACCGTGCATTCATTTAAATTTAGAGACATCTTTTTTCCAGGTTAATGATCCTAAATTGACATAGAATTGAAGCTTCTTTGAGAATGAGAGGCCGAGCAAATTTTATGGTAGGAGAGAAGTCACACACAAGCAACAAAATAGTAAAGGACACAAAATAGGGGCCAGGGAGATTTTTTGTTTTTGTTTCTGTTTTTGTTTTTGTTTTTGTTTTTTTGAGGACCTGGGTTTCATTTCCATAACCTATGTAAAAACAAATCAAAACAAAACCAGGCACAGTGGCATACATTTTCCCTGTGCTTCAGAGTTAGAGACAGGAAGGTCTCCAGGTCCCAATAAGAGACCCTTTCTCATTAAAAAAAAGAAAAAAAAAAACTGAATGGCATCTGAGGAACAACGCCTGGGGTTGTCCTCTGACCTCCACATGCACACACACGTGCACACACACGTGCAGTCACACAGAGGATGCCAAAGTAGCATGGACTCTATCTCTGCCACTCAGGCAGTACTCAAATATTACAAACACCCTCCCTTAAAAATGAAAGGAGAAATGGTTAGAAATCAGTGTATAGAGGAAAGATGTGAAATACTCTGACAAAAGCAGCTGAAGGGAGAAAGGGTTTGTTTGACTCAAAATTCCAGGTCTCAGGCCATCATTTTGGTGGAGTCGGCAGCAGCAACGTGAAGCAACGTCCACAGTGCGTCCACCATCCAGAGCAAAGAACACTGAATTAACGCATGCATTCCAGTGCTCAGCTCACTTTCAACACTTTTGTACACTTCCAAATCCCTGCTTAGGGAATGGTGCCACCCACAGGGGGAGGTTCTCTCTGCCTCAGTTAATCAAGATAATCCCCCACAGAAATGTCTACAGGCCAACGTAATCTAAACAGTCCCTCATCGAGACGTCTTCCCAAAGTAATTCTAAATTGTGCCAAATTTACCATTTAAACTAATCATCCCAGAGGGAAAGGAGACCACTGTTAGTGGCAGGTGCTGGACGTGGGTCTGAGTGCAGTGGTGCTCCTGGGACTGGCCCTCTGGGTTTTCTTCATGAGCAATTCACTTTATCCATCCTCTTTTGGTGCCTCAGCTTGATGTGCCTCTGACTTGTCCCTAAGAAACCTTCAGTGTTTTCCCAGGGCCACTAACCAGGGCCTTAGCACCCACCGGTCCTGGGTATATTGGGTACCAGAGAGTGGAGAACCGATACTAGGCATCTCAAGCCTGTTCTACCCCCTTCTTCTGCTTCTTTGGCCAGTTTCTGCATCTGTGGAGCTCAGCAGATACACCCTCCTCAGTGCCTAAGCTCTTAATGAGAGCTGGTGATAGTAGCACAGTTTTGGTCTCTGCAGCTACCCAAGCCAGGAGCTGCTTTTGCTTTGCTCGAATCATATATAAGTTCCCGCCAGGACTGGCTGCTGAAGTGACCCAGGGCAGTAGCTGTGAATTTGAGAAGTGGTCAGGTTAACAATACTCCTGACCTAGTAGCAGCTCAGGCATCAGGTACTGGGGGCAGGGAAGCCAGTAACTGCTGTGATCCTTCTCCAGCCACTTGTCAGTAAACACAGAGACTCAGTTGGGGGCAAGACATTGTGGTGGACTACCAAGAATTAAGTAATGATTGCTATATTCACATATTTAGGAATCTAAAGTAGAAACCTACTTGTCTATGTGTTCCCCAGACTTTCTTGCAAATTAAAATCTTCCACTAAGAGGAAAGTTCTGCTTGAACTCTGCCCCAAAAGCCTCCTGTGGATCAAGCGACTTTCTCAGCTTCTGTTAGACATCTTGGCCAGCCCAGAGCTCTGAGGCTACTTTTGAAAACCCTGGCTTTCGACCAGTCTCTGCTGAGATCAAGGATTGTGTTTTCTCCCACTTTACCTCTATGCTCAGCATAGGGTCTGGCACAAAAGAGGTCCAAGTAAATGTGCATCTTTGAAGGAATCTCCAAAGTAAAGAGAATTGGAAAGTGATCACAGGGATGTGCTCAGAACACACAAGAAGAAATTGTTCCTCAGTAGCTAACACAGGGGAGGAAGCAGCACGTAGTACAGAAAGGCTGTCAGAGGGCAAGGATGGTCTGTATCTAGAGGATGTGATGTGGGGAGAAGGGCATTAAATGCTCCTGTGGTCACAACCAGCAGATGGCCTGTTTCTTTTTCAAAGGTAGTGAGACCAACCATTTGCAGCAAGTGGTACAGTTTTGATCCAGCCCTTAAGTTACTGCTCAAGTGATTGTCAGGTATTCTGATGTCTAAGCAGGTGGATGAGAACCAGAGAAAGATAAGTCAGGCAAGGATGATAGGGACAGGATTGGAGAGTGGACTGTGGATGTGAACACATGCAGGCAGAGTCACAGACCAGGCGAAAGCCGTCGGGGTGAGAGGAGCACCCAGGGGAGGAACCTGGGCAGAGCACTACCTAAAACCACTTTGGTATTAGGTACATGGAAAACTTAGCATCTCAGGAAAGCACATTCTCACCATTTCTTTGTGTTTCAGGGCTCCACAGTGGCTAGAGAAGCTAGTGACAAAGAAAAGGTAAGCGTCACACCACCTCACCATCCCGGGCTGCATTGCTGTCTAGTATTTCCGTCCATTCTGTCTCCTACCTGCTGCTGTTCCCTTCTGTCCCCTGCTGCTGCCACCAGTGCAGTTGCACCTGCAGACTGAGGATGTTTGCCTTTGTCCCCTTCCTCCAGTGGCTAGATGATGGAATAGTTACTAGTTGATTATGTGGTTGACAGAAATGGGTCACATGCAGCCTGTTCTGAACAGACAAAACCACCAGCACTGTAAACTTAACCTAAGTGATAAATACAGCTCATAGTGTGAGTCCTGTAGATGATGGAGAACTGGGGTCCCAAGGCCTTTTACCCCACGTTAACCACATGTGACCTTGAATTGGTTCCTTTACCTCTCTTAGTCCATTTACTGACCCTTTAAATATTGGCTTGGATGAATTTAAACTTTCCAACTATAAAATCTCAAGATAGAATTGAAGGGCTGGAAAGATGGTTCAGCAGTTAAGAGCACTGGCTTCTCTTGCAGAGGGCCCCAGTTCCCACAATAGCTAACAGCATCTCTAACTCCAGTTCAAAGGGATCCAGTGCCCTCTTCTGGCCTCTGCGGGCATTGCATACATGTGGTGCACTTACATCTATACAGGCAAAACACTTGTACACATAAAATAAAAACAAAGAAATTGAAGAAATATTTTAAGATAGAATTGGAGTGTTTCTTTGCTTCTTTTAAAAAATGAGGGATATAGAGACTATCTTTGCATCTCCAAACTCATTGAACATTAGGTAATAATACTTGAATAGCTTTTAGTTTCTTTTACAAGATTACAGAGTCAACTTAAAGTGTCAGTCTGAATATGAATTTGGGTGATAATGTTGTGCATGGAGATCTAAACTGGTCCAGACTGACACATGCATGGTGAAAGGTCCCTCTGGAGTCTCATTTCCTGAGCAGCAGCTTCCAAATGGCGTTTTCTTGACTCAGGGATTTTTGTTGTTGTTTTTAAGTCCTTTTAGGATATTAATCTGTTTCAATTTGAATTTTATGAATTTGCACATCTCTGCTGTGTTCACTCAGCAGTGTGTATGTGTGTGTGTGTGTGTGTGTGTGTGTGTGTATGCGCACGCGCACGCATGTCTTCACAGTTACTGTCCCACCTTCGAGTGTAAAAATAACCGGTCCCTCGGACACATCCTGCAGAGATTGTGTGTTAGGTGTTATGTAAGGGGTCCTGCACTCTGACAAGGATCCTGCCTTCAGGGGCTTGAATGCGTAACACAGGCATGTGACTCTGGCTAAGAAGGGCCAGGCAAAACCTTCCTAGAAGAGTTGACATTTGGAAATCTGAAAGAGAAGGAGGAAGAACAGCCGGTGCAGAGGCCCATTGGGGTGCTTAGAGTGTCCACTGGAGGAAGAGACGAGGCCACAGGGGTAAACTGGGCCAGTGGAAGGGCTAGTGTCACATACCCAAGAAGGTGGAGCCTGTGCTGGGCTGGTGGATGCAGATAACCACAGGCACTGAGAGATCTGGGAGGAGAAGGAATCAAACTCACGTGGAATGCAGAGGATGATCAGAACAAGGAGTATGTGCAGAGGGAGACTGCAACCCGAATTTCTGGGTTGGACAGTTGGACACAGACAGGTTCATTGCACTCCATGGAATACAGCGAGTGGGGTAAAGACTCTGGAGTGCAAGTGTGATGTCAGAACAGAGAAGGTGTGAGAGGTTCCCACACTGACTTTGAAGCAAGGATGGTCAGCACACACAGGAGGAGTGCATGAAGTCTCCCAGGGGAGTGTATTGGGTAAAAGAGAGGCGAGTCCAGCCCAGCCCAGAAGACCATCCCCAGGGAAGGGGAGGTCAGAGAACAGAAACCTGCCATGGCCAGCCACAGCTTGATGAGCAAAAGTCTGGATCATTCGCTCAAATATCTGTGGGGTAGCTGTTGTAAGTTGGCATTTGGCCAATCAATGTAGGATGTGCCCAGATGAGATGGGTAGGAACAGAAGCCAGATTGCAGTGGTACAGTTTGGAAGGAAACAGGAAATGGTGGCTATCCTTTGACCATTTGTGTTTTTACTGTGCATTAGTGAGTGTGCATTTTTACAGTTCGTTCTTCATGCAAACCACCAGACACTGACTTTGGTCCTGAGCACCAGCAGCAGGTTGCTAAGTGAGCATGTCCAGGTGAAAAACTTAAGCAAGTAGTTTTAGCCCACGAGAAGCTCAGAGATTTGACATTATTGAGACTTTTTAAGATGTACTTTTATTATTTTACTTGTGTGTCTGTGTGTCTATGTCTGTGTCTGTATGTCTGTGTATGGATAGCCATAGAGGGAGGCCAGAAGTTTCTGGTCCTCCTGGAATTACTAGAATTACTTGAATTACAGGCAGTTGTGAGCCACCTGACATGGGTATTGGGAACGGAACTCTGTTCCTTTGCAAGAAAGTATCTGATTGTTCAAAGGGCTACACATATACATCAGAACCCTAACCACAAGTCAGGCGGGGCAGGAACTGAGGACCAGGTGCCGTCCATCCTCTATGGCAGTTGTTGTGCTTCTCTCTTCATTCCCAAGTCCCTCAAGACTTCTTCAAGCAGCATTGCTTTCCTCTGTTGGTTTTGATATCTTCAGGTTCAGTCCACAAGGACTGCTCCAGCAATAACCAACACCAAGAAAGACAGGCATAGCTACTGGTTGGACGGTTGCTGAAGCCCAGTTCTTAAAACAGGACACTATCAGTGAAAGCCACAAATCTCTGACACCTTGTAGCTGTGACACTTCCTTTTAAAAGGAGAACATTCTGTCCTGTGTCTCCACTGATCTGCCCCAGGACCACACACTTTCCAGAAAACAGCAGCATTAAGCACAGTTCCACTGCCGGCCTCACTAAATGTTCCAGCCCCTTTACTGGGGTAGGTTTCTGTACAAAGAATGCCAAATATAGAATTTGTTTAAATAGAGGCTCATCTTCCTCAACCCTCTGCTAGGATGCTTTGTCTCACATCTAGTGTGTATAATGCATGCTGTTCCTCTCAACACTGCCTCTGGTTATGGGCTTAGAGAAGGGGCCCCGACTTGGCAGGGTGCAACGATTACTTCCTTTGAGTAGGTGGAGTTCCTTCACAACAACTTGTCCAAGGTCCTACAGTTAGGAAGTGACAGAGCTGGAGGTTGAGCCCAGGGACTCTAGCACCAGAGCCCCACATTTCAAACCACCATGCATAACTGCCTTCTCAATGTCTAAGTCTCTCTTCCCCTCCCCTCCCCTCCCCTCCGGTCAGAAATTGATGTTATTCCCATAAGTACTGAAAATGAATAAGGGTATTCCTTACTACACTGACTGAAACATTGTGTGAGGATTAAATTGAAACAGTTCGTGCTCGGTCTTGATTTTTTTTTTTTTAATTAATCAAGTAAACAATCTGGTTTTGTACTATATTAACAAAACAACCAGTATATTTCCTCCACTTGAGGAGTTGGAACATTTTCACACAATTTCAACTCTATGCTTTTAAGCCCATTTGGTAATATAGCCTTTGGTCATGTGTTTTCTGCTGTGTAAACACTGTAATTGTTGACACTGTCCCCAAGGAAGAAGCCAGTGCTCCCAGCTTCTTTGGAGGCTTGGGCTTTTGACAGCTCTTACCCGAGAGGGCCAAGGCTCCAAAGGACCGCCTCGCCCACCCATGTATATTACAGATGCTCACTGGGAAGCGGGGAGAAGGAATAGCTTCCAAGTATAGAGTGTAAAAGCAATAAAAAATTGATAACCACCAAGGAAAGTCTGGCTACCCCAACTGCAGGGTAGCTCCTCCCCTAGCAGTTTACTGACAGTCCAGGAATATTTATTAAATTGTAATCCATTAAGTAGAATGTGCTCCTGGAGCTCAACTCCCTCCCTCCACTTCTTTGGTCTTTTTGAGACAGGACCTCCTGTAGCCTCAGCTAGAACTCTATGTAGACAAGGCTGACCTCAGCCTCACAGAGATCCTCCTGCCTCTGCCTCTGGTGTGCTAGAATTAAAGTCATGCACAGCCACACCTGGCTAGGAGCCTCTTAAAATCAGCAAGGTTTTAAGTTATAAAAACAATAACTTTACTTTGCTCTTTCTGGCAGCTTTTGAGTTTTCATTCCATGATCAGTGAATAGTTTTGACGCATCACTGGTACCATTGGTTTGACATCCTCAAGGAAGGCAAAAAATGTATTTCCTACATTTTAGCCTCTTAGAAAAGAAAGCAAATGTTTTTCAGTGTCATCACTGTGTAGCGCTGTTTCGCTCAAAACGATTGCTACTGTGCAAGCAACTTTCATGGAGAATATCCATCGACAGCGGCTTAATTAGTGAGCTCAATTCTTGCTCTTCTCAAGTTTTCTTTCATTGGTGTCATTATTTAATTTCCCATACTTTTAACTTGTTGATGACAAGTTTTGAAACTGTCATTTCAAATGTTTAGTGATATGGGTGCAGACAAGCCCCATCCCTTGGATTTCATCTTGACACATAATTAGTGTGATTTTCATTAGCATAATAATGGTGATGGGGCTGAAGGAGATAAAGAAGCTATATTCTAACAATAATGGAATCACTTTCATAGCAACACATATCAGAACATGTACAGATGTCTTCAATTTTTTTAAGAGTACAGTCCTTCTTTTTTTTTTTTAACCATTGTCAAATTCTGACAGCTGCTATGACTTGTTTTATCCTTAATTCTCTTCTTTTTAATGGAAGGGCATCTTCCATTCATGACTCCAGCAGTTTTGCCCCCTCTAAATGAGACAGAGAAATGCGAGTCTCCCTGGTGGTCCATCTTTTCACAGCTGCGTTCCAATTCCACTGTGACATCAAATTACTAATTATAGGTGAGCAGACTGCTTTTTACAAATGACAGTCTTAGCATGCTGCCAGCTAGCAGGCTCCACAGCAGGGACTCTGTGTGAGTAAAAGAAAACATAACTGGACTCACTTGATATCCGGGGGATTTGACCTGACTCTAAAAAGTCTGTGTT